CTTCCATTCTGATTTTTTTCAAAGGCAAAAGATTTTCGCAAAGGCAGAGCTCTCAGATCCTTCGTCCTCTTCAAAACCTCCGTTTTTCGCAAACTCTTCCCTTTCTCCTTCTCCGATTCTCTTTCTCGACGTCCCTCTAAGGTAGAACTTCCATCGATTTCGAGTTCCATAAAAACGCCTCAACGGAAAAACTCTTCTCGTCGAACGATAAACTTTTCTCAAAATCAAAATCAAATTAGTTTTTTTTCGTTTGAATGTATGTCGCAATCTTGTTGTTTTCTTGTTTGCTATATCTTTGTTTTTACAGGTGGTTAATCTCTTCGAAATCGTCGTTTCACCTTCTCGAAATCAAGATCTCGAGATGGGCATCTCGACATCTTGATCTCGAGATTTGAATCTCAAAATCAAGATCTCGAGATCTGCATCTCGACATCTTGATCTCGAGATTTGAATCTCGAAATCAAGATCTCGAGATCTGCATCTCGACATCTTGATCTCGAGATTTGAATCTCGAAATCAAGATCTCGAGATCTGCATCTCGACATCTTGATCTCAAGATTTGAATCTCGAAATCAAGATCTCGAGATCTGCATCTCGACATCTTTGATCTCGAGATTTGAATCTCGAAATCAAGATCTCGAGATTTGAATCTCGAAATCATGATCTGGGGTTCCAGCAACCCCATAGTTCCAGCAATCATGAAAGGTCACTATCTCTGGCCTGCACTTCACCACTCAAAACCGGTGCCAGAGATATACCTACAACAGTTCTGGGGTCATATGCACACGGATTCACTGAAGGATCGCTCCAAGATCAAGACCAAGTTGAACGGCATGCGGGTGATTTTGACACCATCCACTCTACGGGCTACTCTATCACTGCCGATTCATGACGAGTACGATGCACTGCCGTCCATCCCAGATCTACTGAAAGACGTGGCATCCCTAGGCTACACTTCATTACTGCCACAACTCTCCAACTTCAATGGAGCGTATCTACATCATCCATGGAAGAACCTCTTCGAGCTGGTGAACAAGTGCCTGTCACCTATGCATGCCGGCTTCGACAAGTGCAACAAGCAGATTCTGCTAGTCTTTCATGGCATCGCTTTCAACAAGAATTATGACCTAGCACAGCTCTTCTTCTCAGAGCTAATGGACCTGGTCAAAGCCAAAGAAAAGAATAGGCCAGGTACCATCCCGTACGCAAGGTGGCTCGGACTAATCATACACGACTGCATGGTAGAGCACTCCTCGATACCAAAACGGAGCTCAGATCCACACTTCACTGCACCAAAGCTGCAATATTTCAAAGCAGACAAGAATCCTACATTCGGTCTAAGGATCCCTGGATTTCTACTCAAGCTTGTCAAATCTTCAAATCCAGCGGTCCAGCAGTACAAGGAAGCCACTGAGAAAACTGTCCCTATGGTTCAGCAAAACCCAGCTGGACCTACCCCGGGGACAAAGCCGAGTGATGGTAAGGGTCCAAAGAGAGCCCAAAAGCCACAGAAACCAGTGGCCGGTTCGCCCAATGAAGGAAAGTCTGACGACTCTCTAGAGACGAGTCAGGCGGCTGAGGGCACCGAAACAGACGCTGAGGAAACAGCTAATGAATCGTCAAGTGAAGCCCAAACAAACACTGACGACGAGGCTTCCAAGAGCGTGGGCATAGAGAGCGGGGAATCTGGCTCGGATGATGACAATGACGACAATGACAGTGACGACGTGGAGCACACATATGCCCTGATCAGAAAAAGAAAGCTGCCAGTCGAATCTCCACAGAAGAAAAGAATCACTGCTGAAGATGTAGCACCGATAATCGCTGGCAGACCCCAAGTCTTCACTATAAAGGAGAAAGCTAAACCGAGAGTTGATCCCAGCGAGACAAACTGCTCAAAGGACGACTATGACGAGGCAGCTCATCAAATTAAGAATTCTAAAGAAGTCGTCATCCGGGAGAAAAGGGCCAAGGTCAAGAATGACAAGACTGCTAAGGCAAAGCCCCAGCCCCGAGCCAGAAAGAGCCTGATTGATAAGGCAGACGAGCATATCTTCGCGGGCTGCGATACCTTTATCCAGATAAGCCGAGCTGAATCCTTAAGCACAGGAGCACAGCTTAAGACGAGCCATATGCCCTGATCAGAAAAAGAAAGCTGTCAGTCGAAGCATCTGGCTCAACTGCGCAAGCACAGCCCTCTCCGAGCTGAATCCTTAAGCTGATCTTTTCGGTTCCCGGGTAGAAGTCGCAGCATCTGGCTCAACTGCGCAAGCACAGCCCTCTCCCAGCCACTCGATAGCCTCTCAACAGGCCATTGTTTCAAAAGAACGGGACTCCACGCCGTCACTGGTTCCTTCTGAATCAGTTGAGCGTACAATTGACCTATCGCCCGAGGTCAAAACCCCTTCTTCTCACACATCGAGTCTAGGTGTCACATTCCCAACATTTTCTTCATTTTCTAGGACACCTACACTATTCACTCCACATGCAGGTGCACACACCCTGAACGCAACAACCAGAGCGCAAGCTATGACGGTTGGAAGCCCTGCTACGCCCACAATGATTCCATCATTGCACGCAGGCCACACATCAGCAATCTTCACTTATGATGTGTCAACAGTTACAACCCCCGTAACTGGTCACCCCACCTTTGAAGACGTAAACGTTCTACTAAATCACTTCCTAGATTCCACCATTAAACCATGGGTGCAAGATGCAATGACCGCTCTAGCATAGGAATTTAGGACCACCCAAGCGGTTCGGTCTGAACAAACACCACCCCAACCTTCACCCGAACCTTTCATTTCCCATACACAACCCGTATCCTCCACCCCTCTATCTCACCAATCCATCAACCAAATTCCCATTCCTTCTCTTTCTCGGGGAACCCAGGATACAGAACCAGTATTCTCCCCACACCCGACCACACCCTCCATCGATCTCTCCTCACTATCCTTCGACACTCTAGCGTCGGCTTTGCTGAACAACCTCCTAAACACCCCTGAAGACAAACTTACCCTTCATCAGCAAGCCATACTCGAAGCCCTCCTTTCTTCACCAGAAACCAAGAGCACTTGCAAGGAGAGTCCTCGTGGTCGCAAACGTTCCCATGAGGACCCCGATGATTCGGATCCTCATGAGGGGGAGAACAAGCGACCTCGATCACTTGAGCAAACTGCTTTACCAAGCCAAACTCCACAGCCCATCCAACCCGAAACCTCGACAAACCAACAGCCACCACCCACAGCCAAATTATTTAGCCTGGTCAAGCTAGAAGTAACATTCCGAGGCGTATCTCCCAGAGATACCAACCGAGGAGGGGATGGAAGTCCTGATGATGCTACCATTGGTACATCTTTTACATCAGGCCATCAGTTGGAACCTAGTTCTAAGCTGATGTCAACGGGCAATCCAAGTGAACCCGGTTGTGCTACCCAGGAACAATCACCGCCTCAAAAGCAGCAAAGAGTTCCATACATTTCCCCAGGCAAAGACATCCACGATGCACTGGAGGAGGCGGTGATATATGATAAATGGCCAAGACAATGGACAGAATGGGATGATCTCCGTAATGAGGCTGAACAAGAGGACATGCAGAGAAATTGGTGGCTACGAGAGCTAATCAACAAATGTTCTGAAGATATCATTAGGCTCGAGGACAATGAACGCAAGGAAGGGGAGAACTACAAGGAATCCCAGAAAACTCTTGAATCCGTCGTAAGACGATCAGCGGGAAGACTTCCCAAGACAGAGAAACCCTGGGACAACGTTCGAATCAAAGCCCCCTTCCAAGAGGAAATCAGAGAGCATATATGGCGTAGACCAGACAGAGTCAAACCGCTGAATGAACTGAAGCTGAGAGGCTTTACTCATCTAAAAGGAAAGCAGGCTGGAGGTCATCTGCATATGCTATTAGAAAGGTCAACCGGTACTCAGAGAGAACTGATGGAACAAGATCTGAAGTCAAATATTCTCCCGATTCATCAAATTCTACAAGTGAAGGCTGAAGATTATCACGGAGTAACATTCTATACTTACAGATTTCAACGCACTGACAGGAGTGAATTTACTTGCCAAGAGAATGACTTCATCATGCTTAAACCCGACGACATCTATCAAATGTTCATGGCCTATAGATACCTTCCAGTCAGGCAGAGCATAATATACAGTGAAGGTCTTGCAGCAATCAAGAGATTCATGCTTAGACAGATCAGAATACACTCTTCACATGACCTACAGATGGCTATTGAGTGCAACCTGAAAAAGACAAATCTGACCAAGCCAAGACTGTATGGTCCAGAACTCGAAGACTTCCCAGCTTACCACATCTTCTTCACACTGCCAGCAGTCACTTATCTGAACCACAAGAACGAAAAACGTCTGATGGTAGTCAATGAAATTGAGAAATACTGTGACGGAACGCTGAAGATAATCAAAGAACAGCTTCTAAAGATGAAGGCAGAGCTAGAGGAAAATCTTCAAGAGGCATCGTCTTACGTACAAAAGGAACACTCTACAGTAGAGACAATTTTAAAGGCCATTGACGATCGCCTAGAAAAGATAAATATGTTGAGGCAATATGAACATGCACTTGGTATGAGGAAGCACTACTTCAATTCGCAGAAGCAATAACAGAGTGGCACTTGATCACAAGGGGGGAGATTGTTGGAGATATTTTAATTGTGAATCTAGTTTGTCATAAATTAGCTTTATAATTAATCCTTGTATTTAATTAGTGCATGAATTAGATAGAACTTGGGCCAAGTGTTAGGCCCATATAACCAGGCTAAAAGCCTTGTACGCCTAACCTAAACCTCGCCTATAAAAAGGGAGCCGAGAGTTTAGGATTAGGTTAACGTCGTACTTATTCTTCATAGCCTTACGCGCATATTTTTGTGTTGTACGAGTTCACGGTCTATCAAAGAGGGTTTTACATCGATTCAATCTGTGTTCATCCTTACGTTTAATCTTCTCTGTTAGATTGTTATTCATTGCTGTTACAGAAACATGGACTATCAGGTATGTCGGCATACCCGATCGGGTATGTGACAAATCTTAACGAAATCTTGCTCCCATGATCATTTGTTCCCGGATTTGATTTGGACAATCGAATCAAGCAAATACCCGATCGGGTATAGGCAATACCCGACCGGGTACATGAGTATTTTTTCCAAATCGAAATCTTTCTTGCCTCCTTGCACTTTCCTTGATCTTTTAATGTCCAATCTTGATCCCTTGGATGATCTTTGACCTGTTTAGCTCAGAAAAGTCCTAATCTAAACAAATTACAAATAAATATGAAAATAAAGTATTACACCAAAAGTGTGTAATTTCCTCAACTAGAACTAATAAAAACTAGTTAAAAATACAAACATACAATCGGAAATTACATGAATATCAGACCCCTTCCAAGAACTTCCAAGATATTTTGTCAAATGCTTTGGCCATATCAAGCTTGACAATAACATTAGAACCCCTTATTTTCTTTTTCAAAGAATGGATCATTTCCTAGGCTATTAATATATGTTCAACCATATCTTTATTCTTCATAAAGCCAATTTGTTCAGCTGAGATAATTTTAGGAAAAATTAGGGACAGTGTGTCAGCTAAAACTTTAGTACAAACCTTGGACACAAAGTTAGAGAGGCAGATAGGCCTAAAGTCTCCAAATGTAGATGGATTATCCACCTTGGGAATAAGGGTCACCAGACTGCTAGATATACCTTGAGGAATAGAAATGCCCAAGAAGAACTCCTGCACTGCACTAATCATATCCTGATCCACAATATCCCAACATTTTCTGAAAAACTTACCATTGTATCCATCAGGACCAGGAGCCCCATTTTGATTAAGGCCCCATACTGCATTTTTAATTTCCTCACTCTCAGGCAGCTTCATAAGCATGTAGTTATCTTCATTACTCACAATTTTGGGTATGTGTTGCAGGATCTCATCAGCTTCAATATTAGGGTCTAAAGAATAAAGATGGGAGAAGAAAGAGATAACAGCTTCCCCAATCCCTTCATTTGATGTCACTACCTGTCCAGAATCATTGGTAATAGAAGATATAGATTGTTTTTTATGCCTCACTTTGACATATAAAATAAGTATGTATATACACGTTATTGATGAGGCTAGACCTGCACAAAACCGAGCCGCCCTGCCCACTCGCACAAATGGGCGGGCATGGGCATATATAGTTACCCATCGGGCTGGGCCGGGCCCAGCCCGCAATAACATATGGGTGGGCTTGGCCAGGTTGGGGTGTTGGCCTGTTCAGGTCGATAATCCCCGTTCGCTACATTTAGTATATATATACATACATACACACACACACTAATTTATTTATTTACATTTTACATGCACACACACACACACACACATATATATATATATATATATATATTACTAATTTATCTTTATACATATTTATAGTTTATTATATTTAAATTTAAGTTTTTAGTTCTAAACAACCCCAATATAATATCTATTTTTGTACTTAAAGATAATACTTTGTGCTTGAATTTTAAATTTTAGATATAGTTTCTTATTATTATTTTTGTGTAAGTATTTTTTGTATGTGATGAAAGGCCTATAAATATTATGAGCGTATTAACAATTTTTAAAATGTTGTAATATTATTTTTAAAGTATTCAAAAAATTATATATTTTTGAAAAATTTAAAGTTTTTCCAGGTCGGGCGGCTCGATGGACTACCTGGCTCGTTCTTACGGGCAGGTATGGACATGACATTAGCCTCATTTTCGCGTGCCGGGTCGGGCCCGCCCACACAAGATGGGCAGAAAATTTATAAAAAGTTCGGCCCGAGCCAGACCCGAACTCGTTTTTGTGCAGGTCTAGATGAGGCGGATTACTTTTAATTAACTTCATTCGTTATCCGTGCAACACACCGGTCAATTGGCTAGTTAGGATGTTCTTAATTTCACTGAAATTTGCTGGTCTGATTTGTTTTGGTCTGTTTAAATCTGATTTGGTCTGAACTAGGTTGGTATGATTTATGAAGTCTGGTCTAGTGTGATCTGTTCAAGTTTAACTTGATCAGGTGTAAAACTAAAAACAATTCAAATAAAAACTTCTTTATTAAAAAAATGGACAAAACTGTAGGGAAAAAATGGTCAAAATGATACATGAAGTTGTATCGATAGGAGTAAGTAGTACTTCATCTTGCATTTGAAATTTTAAAGTACATGAACTTGTATTTTTATAGTCAATCAAGTACATTTGCTCTGTCAGAACGTTAAAATAGCTGACATGGCCAAACTATCTGCTTGTATTATACACGTGCAGACTTGCAGTCCAAGTCATCAAATAATTAATCTATAAATTCTATTTTCCTCCACTCCACTCGTTTCAACCTAGGCCATGACCCACCTCAAATTTAAAAAAGCTTTAATTTTAAAGTAAAATTTTGTGTAATTTGTTTTTCAAAAATATTCTTTGTACTGCTCCAGTTCGGTCCAGTGCCTTAACTCCGCCCGTGGAGAGCAGACGAGAGAAAATAAGATGAAGAGTGAGAGAAGCGAGACCCAATATGAGAGCAAATGTACTTAATCGAGTGAACTTACACTTGGAATCGAGTGAACTGAAGGAAATTAGAGTTATAGATTAATTGTTTGGTTAGATTAGCTATTTTAACATTTTAATAGAACAAATGTACTTAATCGGCTTTAAAAATGTAAGTTCATGTATTTTGTAGTTTCAAGTGGAAGATGGAATATTACTTACTAACTTAAACAACTTGGTGTAACATTTTCTTAGAAAGAAATGTCTTCGAATTATTTTGTGTTCGTATTTCTCGTACGGCAGCCATATGTGCGGATCAGAGATGCCAAGTCAAACTTTGATTAGTGTACTGTTTGTTCGGCGACTTATGAGTCTGCGAACTCTGTATGTGTTCTCCGATCAACCTTGACAAAGAATACATTTTTGTCGCAATAAAGGCTTACCCACGTGAGATGCTAATCTGATCTGTACAATTTTTCCATGACATTCCAATTAGTTGCACGCACCAACACGGCAATACAAGCATTCAAGATATGTATTTCTTTACCCGTATAGATTGCTCAATTGATAAAGCGGGGAGAAAGTTAGAGAATAAACAAGATTGAAATTCACGGCAACTGGAGATCACAATTCTTTTGTAATGAATTAGGCTTCTGATCACACGGGTATAAGGTCAACCTTTTACCATATGATATGTCGGGTTGGCCCGTGGGGGGCCATTGGGTTGGGAAGTCAACCTTTTTTGGGAAAGATATGCATTTGTGAGTTTTAGAAGCTGTTCTCTTCACCTGATCTGAATGTTTCTGATCTGAATTTTTTAAGTTCTGATCTGATCTGATCTGAATTTTTCTGATTTGATATGATCTGATCTGAATCTTTCTGATCTGATCTGATCTGATCTGAATCTGTCTGATCTGATCTGAATGTTTCTGATCTGATCTGAATCTGTCTGGTCTGATCTGAATGTTTCTGATCTGATCTGAATGTTTCTGATCTGATCTGAATGTTTCTGATCTGATCTGAATCCTTCTGATCTGATCTTAACTTTCTAAATTGGTATATAATAATAAGAATAATAACAATAACAATAACAATAATAATAATAACATCAATAATAATTATAATAGTAATAATAAGTATTATTATTATTTAATAAGTATAATAAAAATAATAATCCGTAACAATAATAATAATTATAATAATAACAATAATAGTAGTAGTAGTAGTAATAATAATAATAATAATAATAATAAGTAGTGATATTAATAACCTTTTTAATAATAATAAAAATATTTGATTGCACTTGAAATTGGAATATCCAACTCGTAAAGACGGATAAAGTTGTGCAGTGCGAAAGTTGATACCATAATCGCAAGTTGATATTGAATAAATGTTTGTACTTCAATTCATTCTTCTCGATCAAATGGTGACAGTATTATATATTTAGATTAGATGGATTGGTAGAGATTACTGAATTTTAGCATTTATTAAAAAATCAATACTAAAAATTACTCCGTAAAACATAACAGTAATATATAATATTATATAATAGTAATAATAACAGTAATAATAATTTCTGAACTAATCTGATCTGATCTGAATGCTTCTGATCTGATCTGAATGCTTCTGATCTGATCTGAATGCTTCTGATCTGATCTGAATGCTTCTGATCTGATCTGAATGTTTCTGATCTGATCTGATCTGATCTGAATCTTTCTGATCTGATCTGATCTGATCTGAATCTTTCTGATCTGATCTGATCTGATCTGAATAAAATAAGAATAAGGAATAAGTAATAAGATTAAGACGAAGAGAACAGCTTCTTAGTTGTCCGACCCAAATTTTGGTCCACTAAAAGTTCCCAATTCCCTTGAGATTTGAGAATATATTAATGGAAAAATTGATTGTAATAACCTCAACTATTGACGATCCGCTTATAATAATTCCAAGTATCGATTATCTCAGAATAATCTCAACTTTAGTGACCTTCCGCCAATAATGGTCTTTGACCTGTTTAGCTCAGAAAAGTCCTAATCTAAACAAATTACAAATAAATATGAAAATAAAGTATTACACCAAAAGTGTGTAATTTCCTCAACTAGAACTAATAAAAACTAGTTAAAAATACAAACATACAATCGGAAATTACATGAATATCAGACCCCTTCCAAGAACTTCCAAGATATTTTGTCAAATGCTTTGGCCATATCAAGCTTGACAATAACATTAGAACCCCTTATTTTCTTTTTCAAAGAATGGATCATTTCCTAGGCTATTAATATATGTTCAACCATATCTTTATTCTTCATAAAGCCAATTTGTTCAGCTGAGATAATTTTAGGAAAAATTAGGGACAGTGTGTCAGCTAAAACTTTAGTACAAACCTTGGACACAAAGTTAGAGAGGCAGATAGGCCTAAAGTCTCCAAATGTAGATGGATTATCCACCTTGGGAATAAGGGTCACCAGACTGCTAGATATACCTTGAGGAATAGAAATGCCCAAGAAGAACTCCTGCACTGCACTAATCATATCCTGATCCACAATATCCCAACATTTTCTGAAAAACTTACCATTGTATCCATCAGGACCAGGAGCCCCATTTTGATTAAGGCCCCATACTGCATTTTTAATTTCCTCACTCTCAGGCAGCTTCATAAGCATGTAGTTATCTTCATTACTCACAATTTTGGGTATGTGTTGCAGGATCTCATCAGCTTCAATATTAGGGTCTAAAGAATAAAGATGGGAGAAGAAAGAGATAACAGCTTCCCCAATCCCTTCATTTGATGTCACTACCTGTCCAGAATCATTGGTAATAGAAGATATAGATTGTTTTTTATGCCTCACTTTGACATATAAAATAAGTATGTATATACACGTTATTGATGAGGCTAGACCTGCACAAAACCGAGCCGCCCTGCCCACTCGCACAAATGGGCGGGCATGGGCATATATAGTTACCCATCGGGCTGGGCCGGGCCCAGCCCGCAATAACATATGGGTGGGCTTGGCCAGGTTGGGGTGTTGGCCTGTTCAGGTCGATAATCCCCGTTCGCTACATTTAGTATATATATACATACATACACACACACACACTAATTTATTTATTTACATTTTACATGCACACACACACACACACACACACATATATATATATATATTACTAATTTATCTTTATACATATTTATAGTTTATTATATTTAAATTTAAGTTTTTAGTTCTAAACAACCCCAATATAATATCTATTTTTGTACTTAAAGATAATACTTTGTGCTTGAATTTTAAATTTTAGATATAGTTTCTTATTATTATTTTTGTGTAAGTATTTTTTGTATGTGATGAAAGGCCTATAAATATTATGAGCGTATTAACAATTTTTAAAATGTTGTAATATTATTTTTAAAGTATTCAAAAAATTATATATTTTTGAAAAATTTTAAGTTTTTCCAGGTCGGGCGGCTCGATGGACTACCTGGCTCGTTCTTACGGGCAGGTATGGACATGACATTAGCCTCATTTGTACTTCAATTCATTCTTCTCGATCAAATGGTGACAGTATTATATATTTAGATTAGATGGATTGGTAGAGATTACTGAATTTTAGCATTTATTAAAAAATCAATACTAAAAATTACTCCGTAAAACATAACAGTAATATATAATATTATATAATAGTAATAATAACAGTAATAATAATTTCTGAACTAATCTGATCTGATCTGAATGCTTCTGATCTGATCTGAATGCTTCTGATCTGATCTGAATGCTTCTGATCTGATCTGAATGCTTCTGATCTGATCTGAATGCTTCTGATCTGATCTGAATGTTTCTGATCTGATCTGATCTGATCTGAATCTTTCTGATCTGATCTGATCTGATCTGAATCTTTCTGATCTGATCTGATCTGATCTGAATCTTTCTGATCTGATCTGATCTGATCTGAATAAAATAAGAATAAGGAATAAGTAATAAGATTAAGACGAAGAGAACAGCTTCTTAGTTGTCCGACCCAAATTTTGGTCCACTAAAAGTTCCCAATTCCCTTGAGATTTGAGAATATATTAATGGAAAAATTGATTGTAATAACCTCAACTATTGACGATCCGCTTATAATAATTCCAAGTATCGATTATCTCAGAATAATCTCAACTTTAGTGACCTTCCGCCAATAATGGTCCGACATAACCGGCTATAAATAAATTCTTATAGTTTCTAAAGTGAATGAGAAGAGATATAACAAGTAATCCCTATAAATAATTCAACTTTTAATTTTTACGCTTTATTTCTATTTAAAATTCACTTATTATAGCAGGTCATGGACCATTATTGGCAGAATGTCACTAAATTTGGGATTATTCTGAGATAATCGATAATTAGGATTATAATAAGCGGACCGTCAATAGTTGGGATTATTACAATCAATTTTTCCTATATCAATCCAAAAGGTGAGAACACTTATCATCACCGGCCTTTAAATTTAAAGGAATTGGACCATTCTGAGCAGCACAGCGATGCCAGGTAAATATGGGGTTCGAGATCGCTGATATTCATTCTTATCTTACTGTGGATGAAGCTGATGCGGTGTTTGGATAACTGGATCTAATTCTAGATACTCAATCTCTCCATCAAAGATCACTTGGAATCAAATTTAGTTTTTGGAGTGTGATTTTATGCATAATCAATTCTTTAAAGAGAGAATTCTCTATATAGGAGTAAAAAAGTTTTGAAATTTCAAAATAAGACTATCATGTTTTTTATTCCATGAAAAGGAGTAAATTTCTGCCAAATTTGACGGTACGAGGCTTTAAAATATTACTTTTTTCCAAACCTAGCAAATTACTCATCAGAGAATAAAAAATATGATACTTCTATTTTGGAATTTCAAAACATTTTTTGAACCGTTATGATTCTATTGCTTCATTCTAATTGAATCATAGCTTAGTACTTTAGTTGTTCCCGAAAGGTTATGGATAAGAAACGTCTGTCGTGTTTCTGTTATATTGGTTGGCCCAAGCTAATCCATTTTTTTATTGTTGGGAAAACCTGGTTTTGATTGTTTTTTCAAAAAATTACGAAGTAACATTTTTTGAATTTTTAAGAATTTTTAAACCCATAAAGTTGTAATTTCAATACACTAAAAAGAAAAGATATGTAAAATATTTATGTATTTATTTAATCATGAAAATGATGCCAAATTACATTATTAATGTACATTATAAATAAAAAATATCAATATATTTTAATCGGATCAAAATTGTACTCGGTATTTAGGAATATTATGAGATTGTTTTAAATGTTTAATAAGTATTATCATGAGTTGATTATTATGAATAATAATTATCTTTTATTATAATTTTGTGTATAATTACTAGTATATGTTTATTATTTCTATATAGTCATTTAATCGTTGACCGAGTTGACCTGTGGAGTCCGGGTTGACCCATACTGGTCAAGTGGTCGGGTCGCTTCCCGGTCCGATTTTTTAAACATAGGTTTAGCATATATCATTTTAACTTTTACACATTTCATACAATATTATGGAATAGTATAATGGTTTGCCCTAATAGGGTGCCCCGATGGTATATTCACACTAAACAAAGAAAATTAGGAAATTACAAATATGTCCCAACTCTTATATTATTACACTCCCTCAATCTGTGCAGGGGAAACAAATCGCAGATTGAATCATGAAAATTCAAAACGCTGACTAGATAAATAATTCTTATTAAAAATGTCAGCTAACTGGAACTGAGTAGGAACATATTTGACGACAAGATCTCCATGAGCAACACGTTCTCTGACAAAATGGTAATCAATCTTGATGTGTTTACTACGATCATGTTGAATAGGATTCTCAGCTAGATATGAGGCAGAAACATTATCACAGTGAAACTGAACAAGAGTAGAAATACAGATACCAATCTCTACAAGCAATGATCGAATGAAGAGAGTGTCCTGTATAGCGTAAGCAATGGCACAATACTCTGTTTCAGTGGAGGATTTTGAGACTGTGGGTTGCTTCTTGGACTATCAGAAGATTAAATTAGGACCCGAGAAGATAGCATAACCAGTGGTGGAGCGGCTGCTTTCCGGACAATCGGCCCAACCAGCATTTGAGTAGGCAATAAGAGAGAAATATCACGATTGGACTAGAGCCATAAACCATAATCCGCAGTGCCCTGCAGATATATGTAAATACATTTCACAGCCAAAAGGTGAGTAGTACGTGGCACATGCATAAACTGTGAAACCAAATGTACAACATAAGTAATATCAGGTCTAGCCAAAATCAAATATTGTAATGTACCTAGGATATTGCGATACCCAGTAGCATCAGTGAGAAGTTCACCATCTGTAAGAGAAAGAGTAGTACGTGAAGGCAAGGGAGTACATACAGGTTTGACAGTATGGAGATTTAAGCGACATAATAAATCAGATATATAATTCTGTTGAGAGATGAAGAGACCCTGAGATGTATGCCGATTCTGAAGACCCAAGACAAAATGAATGTCCCCGAAGTCCTTCATGACAAACTTTGTAGCTAAAGACTGGATAATAGATCGAACAAGAGCCACAGAAGAACCAGTGATTAAAATATCATCCACATATAGAAGAATATAGATAACCTGAGATTGATGACGAAAAACAAACATAGATGAGTCTGACTTACTCTGAGAAAATCCTTGGGATAAAAGAAAACCATTAAATCATAAAGCCACACCCTAGGGGTTTGTTTGAGACCATACAAAGCCTTTTTGAGTTACACACATGATGAGGAAAGGATGGATGAATAAAACCCCGGGGCTAACGCATATATACCTCTTCGATAAGATGACCATGAAGGAACACATTTTTGACATCTAATTGATGGATACACCACCCAAGCGAGACCACAATAGACAAATAAGATGAACAATGATGGATTTAACAACGAGACTAAAAGTTTTAATAATATCTATACCAACCTGTTGCTTAAATCCATGAGCAACCAACTGCGCTTTGTGACGCTCAACAGACCCATCAAAATTATATTTAGTCTTGTAAACCCACTTACAACCAACTATACTTTTTGTGCCATCCTAAGGTACCAAATCTCATGTCTTATTACCAAGTAAAGCATTAAACTCATCAGCCATGGTCACCCACCAAACAGAGTATTTTAGAGCTTGAGAAAAACGTGTAAGATCATCTCGGGGTGAGAAAACACTTAAATTAAAAATTGTTTTAGGCTTAAAGATATCATCTTTAGCACGGGTTTTCATAAGATGGATGTCACGCCCCGGACCGCATCCGATCCACGTAGACAACCGTCGTACAACCCGATAAGGACAACATTAGTTCATCCTTATCGAATCATACAAGGCGTCCGATAGATTCTATTGCCGAACCGATTAGTAAACACATATAATCAACATCGATATCTTAATCAAACAAATGCGGAAGTAGAATGTTTGATACTTAGCCACACGTGGCAGACACGGGCACGCAGGCCCCCAAATGTTTGAATAGAAATCATTGTTTAAAAATATCCATGAGCAAGTTCCATATTTGAAAATAAGAATGGAAGCACGAACCAAGTCTTCCTTATTTGATGATCACTCTAGGCAAAGGTGCAGGTAGTAGGACTCTAGACTTAACCTGAAAAATAGTGAGGGCCCCCGAAGGGGTCAGTACTTCACAGAAAGAAGTACTAGTGACAAGCAGGCTATATGAAGAATAACTAAAGTTTCAGACACGAGACCCAAAAATAGGGTGATACATATATATATATAGTTGTAAATCATCCACCCGATGATACATACTGTATATATATACGTGTAAAATACTTAACTCGTAGGTCGTTTACCTTAAAGAGTCTTTTAGGGATAAAGTTCTTTCCTGACTTTTCTCACTCCTTTCACGGATGCCTAGCTCACAAGCTATAGTCTACCTTCGATTCATACTACCGAGTGTTTTAGGATCATTTACCGTCCAAGGCACTCAAGCCAACCTGGAGTATTTAGGATCATTTTTCGTCCAAGGGCACTCAACCCCAACCGAGTTTCAGGATCATTTACCGTCCTGGGGATGCTCAACCCCAACCGAGTTTCAGGATCATTTACCGTCCCGGGGATGCTCAACCCCAACCTTATTCCTTACCAAACCCTAACCTGGATATGGATAACCTTTCATTCCCTTAACTATGGACAATACCTAGCCCTATAGTCATATTAACATCATTAGTAACCAACGTGGACGGGTCCCACCTTAACGGCCCACGTTAACCTACTCAAAACTGCCCATTTTGAGCATAACCCAATACCCGGTCGGATATCCAACCTTACCCGGTCGGGTAGGGTGAGGTAGTAGCCCCGGGAGCCAACTTTACTTGAGATCCGGTCGGGTCTATATCATACCCGGTCAGGTCTAGTGTGGCAGTGGCTTCTGGAGCCATTTTTAATCAAAACCCGGTCGGGTATTTACCCATACCCGGTCGGGTATCACCTTTGTCTTGGCAGTCAACGCCCGTTTGACCGCCCAAACGAAGTCCGATTAACGTGAAATTTTATACACATGTAATTCTTGACGTCCTTGATCCAAAACAACCATTTTGGATCCCTGGAACATCATACATAATAAGTTATCACACTTTTAATCATCAAACCTACATAACATGCTTTTCAACTATGTTTTATGTATAATCATGGCATAAGCAAACACTTGGTTATCTTTAATCATTCCAAAAAACATATCCTTGATTACTTTAGGTAATCTCATGCCTCACGCAAAAGTTATAAAGCATAAAGCCGTCTTCTCACCTTAATGACGCTTACGAAGTTCTAGCCTTCCCGATTTAGCTCCGGCGAAACTCCGACGAACTCCGACAACAATTCCGGTGACCCTTTCAACTCCGTGAAAGTTTCTTAAATACCTTAGACAAGTTACTAACAAGTTTTTATCATCATAAAACCCATATTAATACAAATAACCTCAAAAAGGTTATTTTCCAGCGAACCGGTCACTTTGGCTTCTAAATCCGTTCCTGGACTTAGAATTACCCTCCAACCCTTCTTTCTACACTTCCAAACGTGTAAAACAATACTAGTGTGGATAACATATGATTATATAATCATAAGAGGAGACTAAGGAAATGAAATGTGGTTAATGGAGTCATTACCTTAAGCACCTCAAGTTTTCCTTTCCAAAGCCAACTTTTCTTTTCTCCTTTCCCCTCCTTCTTCCTCCTTAGCTCAAGTGCGTAAATGGTGGATGAACATGGAGTGTTTTCAGAGCTTATCTCTCTTCTTTGAATGGGTTGGCCGAGCCTATGAGTTGGAGGTGATTGAGAATGTCCTTTTTGGCATTTCTCATAATAATGTGAGAGATGAGGGCCCCTTTTCCTTTTCAATCTGTCCCCCAATCAATTCTCCTTTCATCACATGGATTTTAGTTCGGCTCCCAATCCCTCTTTCAAGACTAAAACGTGGGTTGGCCCCCACTTATGTGGGAGGTCAACCCTTTGTGTCCCTGAGTGTACAATCGGTCCCGAAAGTTGTATTTCCCGCACTGTTTTAATTATATTTTATTTTATCGGGTCAAATAAAATATGACACATGTTCTCCATCATTATTGGGCCTTATAATGAATATACATTCCTCAACTTTAATTTAGAAGTCTCTGAAATTCATTTTCAGGCTGTTATCTGATAAATTGCTGATACTGATAATCGGGCCCCGTTTGACCAACCGGTCAACCCTATGACTTTGCCACGGCCCAATTTAGCTATCCAAAACCACATACATATTATCTAGGCCAAGATGAATATAATATGCGGTCCCGATAATATCGGGCGGCCCCCACTTCCGATGTGGGCCCCACGTGAATTTTATTATTCACGTAAAAGAAATGATAGAAAATTTACAATCACGTAAAAATGCGTTTACTCATTTCTCAAGGTTCAATACATAATTTAATAAAGTACAAATACTTGGGGGCGGTGTTACAAGTTCTACCCCCCCCCCCCCTTATTTGGGATTTCGTCCCCAAAATCCACGTATCTAGTCAAACAGAAATGGATATTGTTCCCTCATCACGGTCTCCACTTCCCAAGTTTGCTCTTCAACGCGATCACTTTTCCAAAGTACTTTTACCATCGGTACCTCTTTGCTCCTTAGCTTCTTTACCTGTCGATCTATGATCTTTACCGGCTGCAGCATATAGTGTAGGTCTTCCCGGATTTCTACCGATGTTTTCTCAAGAATATGTGATGGGTCCCGTACATCTTTCTTGAGCATAGACACATGAAATACGTCATGAATCTTCTCCAACTCTGGAGTCAACTGAAGTCGGTATGCTACGACCCCGATCCTCTCAAGGATTTTGAATGGGCCTATGTAAAGTGGGTTAAGCTTACCTCGACTGAGGAACCTGATGATCCCCTTCCAAGGTGACACCCTCAGAAATACCTCATCGCCGACCTCAAACTCCAATGCCCTCCGACGTTTATCAGCATAGCTCTTCTGCCGGTCTTGGGCAGCCCTAAGCCTGTCCTGAATAACCTCCACCTTCTCCTTGGTGATCTCAACTAGCTCGGTGCCCTCAAGCTTAGCCTCGCTGACCTCATCCCAACATAAAGGTGTCCGACATTTCCTCCCATACAATGCTTTGTATGGAGGCATGCCTATACTCGCCTGAAAACTGTTGTTATAGGCGAATTCCACCAAAGCCAACTGATTGTCCCATCTCCCCTGGAACTCCAAGGCACATGCTCTCAACATGTCCTCCAAAATTTGAATCACACGTTCAAATTGCCCATCCGTTTGAGGATGAAAAGTGGTGCTAAACTTCAACTTCGTACCCATGGATTCCTGAAACTTAGGCCAAAACCGTGATGTGAACCGTGGGTCTCTATCCAATACTATAGTAACTGGAACCCCATGAAGACTCACAATCTCATCTGTGTACAACTTCGCCAGTCGTTCAAGCGTATAGGTAGTGTTGATAGGGAGAAAATGAGCACTTTTGGTCAGTCTATCAACTGTTACCCATACCGCATCATGGTTTCTAACTGTACGTGGCAGTCCCACCACAAAGTCCATAGTAATGTGTTCCCACTTCCATTCTGGAATGGTAAGTGGCTGTAACAACCCCGCTAGGTGCTGGTGCTCTGCCTTAACCTGCTGACAGGTGAGGCAACGACTTACATATTCTGCAATCTCTCTCTTCATCCCCGACCACCAGTAACTTTCCTTCAAGACTCGATACATCTTTGTACTGCCTGGGTGCATGGCGTAAGCAGATGAATGAGCCTCCTCCAGGATAGACTTTCGGAGCTCCTCATCTGATAGCACACACACTCGTTCCTTGAATAGTAAGAGTCCATCTTCTCTCTCTCGGAAACCCTCCACAGGCCCCGCAAGCATCTGTCCTCGTACTTTCTGTAGTTCTTCGTCGGTGCCCTGACGTGTCTTGATCTCCTCCAGTAAGGTGGGTACCTCAAATCTAGCCAATAGGACCCCATCCGTGGATACCTCCACACGTGCCCTCAATGACCGTAGGCATGTGAGTAAAACCCCTGATGAGCTCTTCCTGCTCAGTGCATCGGCTACTACATTAGCCTTGCCTGGATGATAGTCGATGATCAAGTTGTAATCCTTGATCAACTCCATCCATCTCCTCTGTCTCATGTTCAGCTCTTTCTGAGTGAACACGTACTTCAAACTCTTGTGGTCGGTGTAGATGTGACACAATTCTCCGTAGAGGTAGTGCCTCCAAATCTTCAATGCAAACACCACAGCTCCTAGCTCTAGATCATGGGTGGGGTAATTTACTTCATGTTTTCTCAACTGCCGAGAAGCATAAGCAATTACCTTCCCTGATTGCATCAGCATGCATCCAAGCCCCTGGATGCTAGCATCGCTGTAGATGTCATACCCTAACCCTTGCACGGGTAGAGAAAGCACTGGTGCTTCAATCAAATGTTTCTTTAGCTCAAGAAACCCCTTCTCACACTTTTCATCCCACGCAAACTTAGCCCCCTTTTTAGTGAGCTTCGTGAGTGGAGATGCTATCACCGAGAACTTCTCCACGAATTTGGGGTAATACCCCGCTAAACCGAGGAAACTCCTTATCTCCTTCACGTTCTTGGGCCTCTCCCAATTAGTGACTGCTTCAATCATGGAGTTGTCAACTGAGATGCCCGAACACGATATCACATGCCCGAGAAAACCGATCTCCTCAAGCCAAAATTCACATTTTGAGAATTTCGCAAAGAGTTGCTTATCTCGTAGCGTCTCAAGCACAAGCCTTAGGTGTCTCTCATGCTCTTCTTCATTCTTGGAATACACTAAGATGTCATCAATGAATACTATAACAAATTGATCCAAGTATTGATGGAATACTCGGTTCATGAGGTCCATGAATGTCGCTGGGGCATTGGTGAGCCCAAACGACATTACTAGAAACTCATAGTGACCATACCTTGTACGGAATGCACTCTTGGGTATGTCACTTTCCTTGATCTTCAATTGATGGTAACCCGACCTCAAGTCGGTCTTAGAGAACAATGTTGCCCCCCGTAGTTGATCAAACAAGTCATCTATCCTTGGCAAATGATATTTGTTCTTTATCGTGACCTTGTTCAACTGACGGTAGTCCATACACATTCTGAGTGTACCATCCTTCTTCTTTACAAATAGTACCGGTGATCCCCATGGTGAATGGCTCGGCCTAATGAATCCGTTATCTAGTAGTTCTTCTAATTGAACCTTCAACTCTTGAAGTTCAGCCGGTGCCATTCGGTATGGAGGGATCGAGATAGGTTTCGTGCCTGGTTCTACTTCAATCACAAACTCAATCTCTCGATCTGGTGGAAGTCCCAGTAGTTCTTCAGGGAACACCTCCGGATACTCGCTCACCACCCTCACTTCTGTGAGACTCTTCCACTTACCTTCCTTGCCTATGGCATAGGCTAAGTAAGCTTGACATCCCTTCCTCATCATACGCCTTGCTCTTATGGCCGATATGATGCAAGGATTGAATTTTCCTTTATCTCCCTTGAAACATAGAGTACGTCCTTCACCATCCTTGAGTTCTAACACTTTAGTGTAGCAATCTACCTTTGCATGGTGTTTTTCAAGCCAGTCCATGCCAGGTATGGAATCAAACTCAAGCATATCTAACGGTACAAAGTCACCCGTTAGACGGTGCTCTCCTATCTTCACCTCACATGAAGGATAGTAGTCATTCCGTTCAACGTCATCCCCTAGAGGCGTAGACACCAAAAGGGTTTGCGTCATTGGTATTAAAGGTGTGCCCAATCCCATGGCAAACGCCTCACTAACGAATGAACGTTGTGCTCCCGTATCGATAAGGATCCTCGCATCCTTTCCATTAATCTTTAGAGTTCCTACATTTAAAAACCATGTAAGATTCATCTCTAATATACCGGATCTATTTTTCGTTCTTATACGCAAAGAATTGCAAAGGAGGTGGATGGGATCGCTTTTAAGGCTACCTTTGCTATGTTTTGGGAACTTTGTACAACCCGTGTTCGTATTATTATCATTTCTTCGTGTATGATGGTTCTATACTACTCATGAGAGTTCCATTATATCTAACCATTACATACCAACAACTCTTATGAAGAACATAATTCGAAATTATGTCCTTAGAGTGGACGTATTGCTCAATGATGGTTGACGTTCGCAGTTGAGGTATAAATTGGCATCGTCTCACCGTTTTGATCATATCTCTTCACATACTTAACCAGATCATTCGATTCAAATTCCATAATTTAGAGAATAACCCTATCAACAACTCTCTTGAAGACAACTTTTTCATTTGACAAACACATCGAGGTGTACCCGGTCGGGTAACTTACCATACCCGGTCGAGTATGTGTTCCAGTGGGTGATCACCCACTCTACCCGGCCTGGTAGCACACCGGGCAAAACTTTCCATCATACCCGGTCGGGTATATCACCATACCCGGTCGGATATGTGTTCCAGTGGGTTACCAGGCCAAAAATATCCCCCATACCCAGTCGCGTAACCTCTTATACCCGGTCGGGTATCAGCCCGTTCCTTCCCAATTTCCCCCAGTTTGATCCTAAGTCTGTTCCCAACTGATCCCTATGACTTATAACTTCAATACAAGCTTAGTAACATATAAAATTTAGTGCATTACCTGCGACAGAGTCCGGGTTTGCTCGCGCATCCACCTCGGTCATTGCATACACTCGTGTTTGGGTCCTCCCTTGGTTAACGGACGCGGCGTTGCTAGTCGTGGGTCCGCCCCTTCCCGTGCCGACCTGTGATGGTCCCGC